TTTATCTTTAAGCTATTCTATAAGTTTGAGAAAATCAGAATTCAAATGTAGTAGAAAACATTCACTGACTGAAAGCGGGGTGAAAAATTATTCGATTACTAAAATGACTATTACGAAATAGGGTGAAATTTAGGGCTGCATGTGCTTTTTAATTACGATTTATAAGAAGTTTTAATGTTTTCATATACTATCTCGTCAAATATATTACTTTGAGATTTGAGAAATCAAAGTGCTCGAGCATATAGTAAAGAAATAGACATTCATTTTGGTTTTTTTATATTAATTATGGTTCAATTTCTAGTCATCGTTATCATCACATTTTATATGTACTACATTTCCAAGATAAGCATGAACTGTAAATCATCACTTAACGGCTACAATAGTTGTTATAATAACCCTTCTGTATCTAGTAACTTAATTTTTGAGGAATTGCTGACGTACATATTCTTTTTTGTCAGCTTTTTTTATACTAATTTTTTTTGACTTTGTATACACGTACATTAGACATGATTAATGTACTAATAAAATTATAAAATTAACTTATGAAATGTATATGCAAATGTATGTACATTTTATAAGTTAATTTTACAATTTCATTTTATTTTATTATATATTATTTTGATCAGCTTAATGACAACATATATACATATCTGTAGCTATAAATACTACGTTGAAATCTGTTATGCCTATATTTTGATTGAATATTTTCGATTGAAATCACTTCAAAGATATAATATAGCAACTATGAATAATAAAATATAAAACTTACGTTTCTTAAACACCACGACATATTTGAATGTTTGATTTGTTATTAACAAGGGACATTGTATTACACTTTTGATTTTCATTGAATTTAGATTTCGACGACATAACCCTAAATGATATAGTTGGGTGGACTGACATTTGACATTTCGAAATTCAGATCGTTACGTAGGACCAATCGCATTACTTCGTTTCGAATGACAACATCGTTGGCCAATGACGAATCACTATTTGGCGTAACGCATTTCCGTTAGAATTTTTCTGAGTTACTTCCTAGTCGCGCCTAAAGATGTTTTACTTCGAAAAAATAGTTGTACAAAAGATCAAATGCTCAAACTACATAGACAATAATAAGAAAATAATTACACAGATCCACGAAATAAAAAAAATGTCTGTATTGGGTGTGTGGCATATATTTTCTAATTGAGTATTTAACCCTGAATCTAAAGTCAAAATTGGGAATGAAATGACTGATTAAAAAAATATTAAAAAAAAAAACAATTCTCTGATCTAGTAATTCGTCTGCATAATAATCAAAATCTTAGAAGTTCTTTCGTTTCCTGGCTTTTTTCACCTTGAATGTCTATTGGGTTTCAATTAAATGCAAAATTTGCAAACATCTTTTTCTGCCATTGCCTCACAATTTCACTCATCATGTAATAATTGTGTTTGAATAACTTCATGTAATTAAAATTAACATACATTCATTGACTACTTGTACTTTTTTTACTTTTTCGTTGGCGATGCAATCTCATTCTTTAAGCAGCTGCAATATTTGTCTTGCTTAAAGAATATTTTCCATTTAAATAACTTCAAAGATTTATAGAAACTACGAATAATATAGAAATTATTTCTATAAATTTATGTTTCATACACGGCGCAAATGCTGCATTTGTTTTATTATTTTCATTATAATTATTTACGGGGGACAGGGTAAAATATTCTTCTGATTTAGGCATTTTTCATTAAATCAAGATTTGTACTACGATGTAACTTTAAAATGTATATTTATCTATTCCGATTTCCATGTTGATATCGGACGCATACAACAGATCTCTATTCACATACGCGACGACTAATCACAATCGACCTGAATAGAAACGATATCATCGACAGCGAATAGTTGGCACTCGACTCTTATCTTATCTTATCTGCCGTAACGCACTTCCGTTGTATTTGCACGGATTTACGTCCTAGTCGCGCCTAAAGAAGTTTTACTTGAAAAATGTTCAAAATTTCCAAAAGAAATCAAAATACTTAAAAATATAAAAAAATCTATTTTTTTTTTCAAAAAATTCAAAATTTCTCAAAAATATCATTTTTTCAAAGTTTGGCATCCGAATTTGTTTGGCACGAATTGATTCGTGTTTATCGGTAAAAACTACATTGGAAAACATATGCCGTACATCCAATGTAACAATACATAACATGTAACAATACAGACAACTTATTTCATTCTGTGGACCTATATCACCGAAATCAAATCGACTAAAACATCACTTGTCCTCCTTACAATTTTTAAAATAATTCTCTGGTTTATGTCGATTATTTCTGCGTGCCGACAGTTAATTCCCGAGTATATAGACATTTTGTCATTTTTCCGCGCCGCCGTTTTCGTTCGGGTAAACAAACATCTGCCCACTGGCGTGTCGGTTGGCTACGAAATGTAAATTCAGTGAAAAGCTCAGTGCGCTCCGCGGGCGTGGGGCATGGTGAGGCGTACCCGGACTATTAGCGGATCATAGTGCGAGGACTGAAACGATTGAAAGGATTAGAAATTGATTTTTATTAAAGTTTACACGGAAAAAATACTTTATGGGTATAAATGTACGTTATAGAAACTATGTATATGTTTGTTTTGTAATTAACTTATTGTTGTAGTTTTTTGTCACATCGAGTACTGTAGTAAATTGATAAAGGTAATCATGTAAGTAAAAGATTATTTTTATTATTTTTGTTATAAATAAATTCATTCACACAAATATTTTTTAGATAATATGCATATTTAAAAAATTATTTTTTGTGTTTTGAACAATTTAAAATTTAAGTAACTGGTAAATTTTTTGGGAAGGAAGGTCCAGCGGTTATGGACTCTTAATAAATTAAGTTAAAAAGTGTCATTTGGCGGTCAAAAATGTTTATTGGACATATGTACATCAAATTATCAGATATTTTATAGAGATTTCAATATTGTTTACACATTGTGTATTTTTTTTTTATTTCCGTACCAAGATTTTTAATTTTGAAGTTTATTTATATGGTTCAAACAAATGTCCTCGAAATTTTGACAGTATGGAATAACCGATTTCTAAAATTGAAAAATCATTTGTTTTGTACTCGATTGCGAGGCGTTTTAGCAAAAGGCAATTTTGCCGTTTCGGAGGTATGAAGCGCAAAGGCTGTAAAAACAGTTATGCAGTTTTTGAGAGAACGGATCATCCGATTAGATAAATTCAAAAAACATTTTGCTTGAGTAAACGGTGTGCAAAAAATGCATTTACAGATAATTTAATAATTTTGAAAATTTTTTAAAAAAAACGAAATTTTTTAAAAAAATTCAAAGACTCAAAAAGTTTAAATTTTCGAATTTTTTTATCATTTTTATATTGTTTCATATTATTTTGATATATTCAAAAAAAAAAATCGGATATTTTTCAACATTTCCAAATTTGAACAAATTTCTAAATTATCAAAAAAATCAAATTAAAATAAAAAGGACTCCTGTAAACGTACACATAAGTTGTTCATGAAAAAAGCTCGTCGCCCAATTTAAAAAGCACTTATAAGTTTACAGTATGTAATAAATACTCTATTTGAAATTATTCAAAACTTTATTTATTTTTTGAGGATTATTTTCATTCCTCGTATGTTTAATTATGGCACGGGAAGTTCCAGCATTTGCCTTGATGCACGATGCCATTTTATATAAAATATAAGTTTTTCTCACATAAAAATTTATGCTAGAAAGTTGAATATGTAATATTGCGAATAATATCAAAATCGATTGACAATGAATATTTAAAGTTTGAAAATATTTCATTATCTTTGATACACATGTTCAAAACGGTTAATCTTAGTTTTAATTTTGCTTCCACTTTTTTGCAATAAATGTACAACAATAGTCATTTTAATGAAATCAATATTTTCAGTTCACTACTATTTTTTTTCTTATCTTTTTATATAAAAGAAGAATATCTACATGCATTAATGCATTAATGTTGAAGAATTTTCAAAGCATTTTCAATGATTTTGTTTTTTCATTGTTTGAAATTTGACGAAGCATTTCTATTATTAGTATCAACTTTTAACATTTTTAAATATAATAGTTATTCAATTTTATAATGGTTATAGATTTCATACTAATGTTTGAGTGTGAACAGTAATAGCACTATATTTGTGATTAAATATTTAAATAGCAATCTCTGAAAACGTAAAATGAATCTGGTGTGAAAGTGATAGGTTATATGTACATTCTTATATAAATGCATTATCGCAATAAATATTTGACATTCATATCACCAATATGATTCATTGAGTTAGTCATAATGAAGCAGATATATATTATTTATAAGAGAGTTATGAGAATGTCTTAATGGTGTTCCAATAACTATCGCCATCACAGCTAATAGTTATGATATATAAATCATCCAAATCCATATATCGTTTCATAGTGGTTATATGATGATTATTACTATTATTGATACTTTGTCTAAAGGCAGTTTTGTGATGTGAAAAAAAAAACATATGTAGTTTTCTTCTTTTTCCTCTCTTCTTTATATATTACTTTGTACTTCTAAAACTTATGCTTCAACGTTTTCATGTCCAGATTCTCAACTTTTATTTTCCGTATAATTATTTAAACAAAGCTTATGATTATAATATAACAATATATAACACAATATAATTTTTTATACACAGTTAACAAGAAATAAACTATGCTATCATATCTTTTTTATAATTAATTATAGTCACCATCACGACTAGTGTTATAAAATTCATTTTTAAAATTAGTCAAAAATGTTAACTAATACTTAAAGTTTACTGATCAGTCAAAGTATTACAACTATGTATCAATAAACTGAGAACTAGTTAGTATCATTATTATTTTAATGGTGACCATCATCATTTTCGGGGTACCAGAAACTGCATATTTCTTGGCAACTTGATACATTTTACGCCACCCTTACTTTCAGAATATGAGTTTCTAAAAACCAGACAGAATCTTTCTTTTCTTGTATTGCTTTTCCATTTCTCTTTCCCTTTTTTCGTATTTTGTTTTAGTTCAGTCAGATTTATCTTTACATGTTCAACATTTCTACCTAAAAAAAAAAAACACAAAATTTGTCTGGATCGTACACATGTGGAGACAGACAAATAATCGTTATGAACGAGCTAAATTATCTACGCAAAAACTAATTGCTGGTATATCAAAATAACAAACAAAAGTATTTATTTGTATACAAGTAACAATTATTATTAAAAGAAATCAAACGAAAATACTTTTTTTTGACATTTTAAAAGCAATTCGGTCTACAAATCATAGGGCGCTGACTCAATGCAATAATGGAAACTTACTTGTTCGAATAATCATACTTCATCTTTTTTCCTTTGGACCTTTATCTCAAAAACAGTGTGGTTTAGTTGCTGTGATGACTGTCACTACTGTACCCTAGCACAACCGTACCTAGTCTCCACTACTTCTACATTTAGTACCTTGTAGGTTTTTTTTAGCTTCACTTTTCTTTACCAGCATCACATCTTCAAACTATCGAGGTAGATTTTGATTAGATTTGTCGTCTTTCTTTAGAGTCTTATCTCTGATACATACAGAAACTTACTACAAATAATGATTATGATGTTATTGGAAATATAATAGATAAATAAATATTAACTTAAAATTAGTTACCATACATCGCACGGCTACTAATTGCCGGTTGACCGCTGCTTACGCTAGGAGCAATTGTAGATACTAAGACAAAGACATGGTGCAAGATAAATTATTACAGTTGACGATCTGTTTCATATGAATAACAACCATCCAACTCTCACATTAGCCAGTTCATTGTACAATATACGAATGTGTATAGTAAGCGACATAGATAAACAAGTATAAATAGATAGCTATGTCGGGCGATTTGACGTTTCATCGATTGAAGTGCGGAGCTAAGATTATTGATGGCAGCACATGTTCATTTTGTAAATTAACCCCTGGTATTACTTCTACATTTGTACATATAATCATTACAGCCAAAAAATCTAAAAAAAATTTAATATTTGAAATAAGAACAAAACATACGAAATACAAAATATATTTTCAAATATATCACAGACATATTTTGGAAGAAATATAAACTAAACAGAAATAACTGACTACTATTAATTAAAGTATATTACAAACATATTTTTAAAGTACTACAAACTAAAGAAAAGTAACGATATTAATATTAATTACTTAATGACTAATAATAATATATTAAAAACTTAAAAACTAAGAAGTGAAAAGCGCAGGAGTATTGACGATGGAATTACAAATTTAGAAGGAATGGCAAGTAATGCAAAAATTTTAAAGAATAAAAAGAACAGCAAATTTCTAAAAAAGAACAAATACTTCCCAAACAAAATAAACCTCGAAACTAAATAGAGATAAAACTAAATTCCTAGGATTAAAATTCATTTACGAGATGTTCTTCTTTATTATCTCTCCATTTAGTTACTTTGCTATCTAATCAATCATTAATAAAGTTACATTTGACGAAATCTTTAAATAGTTTCTGTGTATGAGTGATTTTTAAAAATCACATTTACTCATTTTATGATCATGATGAATCCATTAACATTAAAACTTCCATAAAAGATAAAAAAAACTATAAAGCCAGGTGTTTTCAATAAACAGAATAAAAATGTATGCACTTGATACCTTTGCAGACTTTTTGTACAGTTTCAAAGCAAGAATTATGTCTTTACTTATTTTCTTTGCAAATGGTATTTAGAATTAAAATTACTTGGCCCTTTCTCTGGATTTGCACACTGTCGTGTTTTTTTATTAGATTGTTTTGTTTACCCTCTATCAGAATTATCGCCTGATTCTACATCAGAATGCTCTCCTAGTCGTGACTGTGTGAGAGGAAAACTCTTTCATGATTCCCGTAAAGGAGATTTGTCTAATCCACACACTTTAATACAGCTCAAAGAAGCCTAAACAAGAAGCATATTATTATATAAATTATTACAAGAAAGACAGATACTTGATTTAAAGATACAACTACATTATTCAAAATAAAATATATAAGCAACTTGTATTTAGTTACCTGAAGTAAGATTACTCTCCTTCGACAATCTGCCACTGCCTCTACATCATTTTTATGAATTGACATTGATATACCAAGTTCTAAAATAATTATTATTAAAATACATTCATATAGTACAAATCCGGCATATTTAGGCTCCGGAGAACATGAACTTTAGGATGCTTTCTTGAATTGATTGAAAAGTGTTTGACTTCTGACATTTTCATCGTGTATTATTATTATACATTTTCATTATATAAATAAATATAACTCATCATACATACCTGGCCATCACTTAAGACGTGCAATTCAATATTCATTAGTTGAAACAACTTGGCACGTGACCATACTAAATTTATTTATTAAATATTCACTAGAACAGAAATATTTAGCAACAACATATAGGTTATTGGCACATTCGTACGACGGCTGTCAAATGCGCGAACGAGCGTTGTTGTAATTGAGCGAATGTAAGCCATCTATAATCTAAGCTTGGCAGTACCCAATGTCAAAACACGGTAAAGCGTATTTGTTCAGAGATAACCCCCCATGGTAAGCGAGTTGTTCGGCGCGAAGCTACAGAATTAATGCGAGCCATTCGCCGACTTAATTGCGCTTTAAAGCGTTCGACACTTTAAGCCCGACGCCTCTTCTGTTCTCTCCTTAAACCCATAAAGTACACACAGGCACAGGCGCTGCGGCGGCGAACGCGCCTCTTTGTAACCGGCAAATGAGCCTTTTCGGAAATATTTTATTGCCGAAGGGAGGAACGACTTAGATATAAAAAAACTTTATGTAATTGCTCGTCAACTTACAGATTATGATATTGTTTTAGGTTATTGGATTTCTGAGTTTAATTATTATATACTAGTGGTGTATGGCATCGTGCCTTGAGGTGAATTGCTGGTACTTTCAGTACCAGAATTAAATATTAGAAGAAAAAATCAGTAATCATTGAATAATGATCAATGATTAATAACATTTTTTTTAAATATGTTCAAATAGATAATTATAACTAGTGCTGCATGGCGTCGTGCCTTAAGACAAATTGCTGGAAATTTCTATACCAGAATTCAATATTCGAGGGAAAAAATCAGTAATCATTAAATATTGATCAATGATTAATAACAATTATTCTAAACACTTTCAAACAAATAGTTATAATCACACATATATTTTATCGTTCATAAAATATACAGTGACGATCTTGTCGTTCAAAACACTTGAGAAAGTTTACATAAGTAAGAGATGCCGAATGAATGCATCTGAGGATATATTTTTTACGATTAGAGTAATGCATTTGAAATATATACATTTTCAAACTGAATTGTAAATTCAAAATTTATATTTGAAGTATAAAACTTTGTATATTTTTGAAAATTGTAAAAAAAACATATCCGAAAATTTTGAAATTTGCTCGAACCATGTAAGAAAACGTTAAAAATTTTAACTAAAAAAATTAATCTTGGTGCGGAACTCAAAAAAATTAGTACTCATTTTTGAAAAATTTATCAAATATCTGATAATTTGTTGTGCTTATGTCTAATGATCATTTTTGTATCTCCGAAACCGCTAGACCTGTCTTACAAAAAATGTCATCAATTTTACATTTCGTCAAGTAAACTGTGTTTGAATCATTCAAATCGGGTACTCCGTTCGCTCATAACTGAATAATCGTTTTTGGTACTTTTTGCCTTGTATCTTCGAAACGACTGGACCTATCTCCACCAAAAACTATTCACCACGTCTTCTCATCAATAGGAATCGAATGTTTTTTGAATCATTCAAAACGTGAAGATATGCAAAAATTTTCATTTTCGATTTATTACGGTAAGTTAAATTGTAAATGTAATATAAATTGTAATTGTAATTGTAAATATTGTAAATGTATTTTATCGTTCATATAATATACGGCGACGATATTATGGCTCAAAATACTTAAGAATGTTTACATTAACTAGAGATGTCCAATGAGATGAGGATATATTTCTTAGAATAACGCATATAAATTATACATTTTTAAACTGGATTATAATTTATATTTGAAGTATGAAAGTTTGTAAATCTTTTAAAAATTTGATAAAGACTTCCTGAAAATTTTGAAATTTATTTAAACCGTATAAGTAAACTTTGGAGGTTAACAATCTTGGTACGGACCAAATATTGTCTATATCCGCACATATATAGACATACACACACACATTAATTTTTTCTAAGGTATGCCAAAATGTTTAGAAACCTCTGCAACGTAAACATATATAAAAATTATCATTTTCGATTTTTTGACGATTACTATAACTTGCCCTACGGGAAATTAACGATTTCATGGGCAATATTCTAATCTGAAACCATACTGGTGGCGATCACGTGGTTTAATTAGTGGAATGTAATTGATTATCCCGTAAACCACTAATATAATTCGGTAATAAATCATATTGGTAATATTGATACTATCAGATGTTCGTTATCATGAGGCTTTTGGATAGATATTAATATAAATCAAGATGTATCAAATAACTGTTACTTTTTTTCCAAGAATTTTATTTGATTTTAAAATGGTTCATATTTACTGCATAATAGTTGTAATATATAGTCATGAAACCATGAGCAATAATTAAAACTAATAATTTATTAACTTATCGTAGGGTATTTTATATTATTCACAAAAAATTAATGTTTTTTTTTTTATTAAAATGTATGTATGTGTGTATGTTTTCTGTGGATACAAATTTTTGTCCACGATTTCGGGTGCACGGATCAATAGATTTGAATTATTCAAATTACATTCGATTTCTGTTGATGGGGAGTCGTGCTAAGAGACAGGTACAATCGTTTCGGGAATATGAGGTAAAACGACTTTCGAAAGAGCATTCAATTTGAGTGATTCAAAAAACTAGCTGTAAGTGGAATTCTGTCTTAAGGCAATTAAGGCATCGTGCCTTAAGGCAAATTGCTGGAACTTCCCGTACCAAAAATTATTATTTTTTTAAAAACGATTAACATTTTTGAAAAAAAAATTACTTTGAAAAAATAAGATTTTTGAGAAACTATAAATTGGCCAAAAAATTACTTTTTTTTGAAAAAAAAATTTTTTTTAAAAAAAAAAATTTTTTTAATTTTTTTTTTGTTTTTTTTTGAAAAAAAAATTTTTCTTTATTTTGACATATTGTGGAAGATCTGAACTTTTTTCAAAGCAATCGTACTGTTTTAACTGCATAGGGACAAAATATAAAGCGCGTAAGTGCCGCGTCGCTGTCTAACGCATAAGCATTGGTACGGAACCCATAGGAATGTTAACAAAATGTATACTTATTGTTAAAATCTCTATAAAATATCTGATAATTTGATGTGCATATGTCTAATGATCATTTTTGACCGCCAAATGGCTCATTTTTTTACTTTTTCCTCCATATCTCCGAAACCGCTAGACCTACCTTCATGAAAATTTTATCGATTCTTCATCTTGTTAATACAAGTGAAACGTTTTTTGAAGTATTCAAATCGGACGCTCCGTTCTCTTAAAAACTGAGTTACCGTTTTCGGCACTTTTTGCCCCGTATCTTCGGAACGGCTAGACCTGCCTTCGCCAAAAACTAATCAGCACGTCTCCTTATCAATACGAATCGAATGTTTTTTGAATTATTCAAATCGGTTGATCCGTGTTCCCGAAATCGTCGACGAAAATTTGTATCCGCACGTACAT